GTATCTGCATGACTAAACACCACAAAGGGAAACTCCAAGCTACTTTTTTACATTGCAGAATAAGCCACGGATGTGTCTGCATTTCCTATTCTCTGCATAGCACCTGGCAGATCTGGCTTTGGCACATTTCAAATACATCTGCTGTTTACAGCCAACGCACCCATAAAACACAGCATAAAGCTGCAAAACAAAGAAGAGTATGAAAGAGCATAAAGGGACCTGGAAACGCGTCAGGGAAACCAGGTAACACCCTGCAGCAATGAGAGATTTTTACTGTAAGAGCAAGGGAAATAGATGTTGGTGAGAACAGATTAGTTTTGCTTCAAAACTGGAGCAAAGCCTGGCCACAGCCACTGAAAGGTGAAGGGGAAGCACATCCCAACCTCTCCACCGAACGGGACACAGAGAGACAGCCCAGCCAAGCACTGCCAGAGCTGTCGGGGATGCTGTGAGGTGTTCCCCGAGCCAGCTTTGCCTCTCTCACATCCCATTTCCTTACCTTGGCTTTCGACTCTTGCGTTCCCATACTGGCAGGTCGGGATGTGACAGAAGAGACTCGTTTAGAGATGGAAGCAGGGCTGGAGGGTGTTTTCGGAGGGGCTGTGCTAGAGAAGGTGTGTCGTTGGGGGGGGATGGAGGGTCTATCGCCTGGGGGTTTGGCAGTGGAAGGTGTGGATTTCTTAAACGTGGAAACAAAATAAAATCGGAACAAAAAATCAGTATGGGAGGAAAACAAAAGGGGAATCATTGACATTAAACAGGATTAGAAGGTGCAATGCAGAATGGGTGTGGGACAGGCGGTGGCTGGTACCGCCCTGTCCGGGCAGCACAGGGCTGGGGGGTTCTGCTGAGGTCCCACAGCTGCACTGGCAAGCACGGATACCTCAGCTCAATTCCTCCCACAGCACCCAAGACTCTTCCTGTGGAAAGTGTCACCTCGTGACAGGCTGTCCTTGTCACTGCCCTCCACCCCAGTGGCACGTTTTACCACCTGAACTGCTCTATTTACTCCCAAATTTTCTATGTGCTCCACGGGCAAACGTGCTGCGGGTACAGCACTTGTGGGATCACTTCTGGGAGATGCAGAGGACTGCTCCCAGGACTCCCAAACCCCCAGTATCTGCTGTATCAATAACGGATCACTGGTTTTTATCTGGACAATTGCTTGGTATCATGGCAGATGCCTACCCCGGTACAACCCTGCTAAACTTCCTTAAAGAAAGACCCAATTTCACACTGTTGGAAAATAATTACATTCTTCACCCACCAAACCATCCACCAGCTTGCCCAGGCACTGACCAGGCTAAGGGCCAGCTGAACTAAACCTCCTCCAATTTAGCAGCGTGACAGATATCTTTAAACTTCTGGAATTTACCATTAAACGCTGTTCCTCACCCAGAACACAGCATCTGCAAGGCTTAATGATGTAATTTAGTTTTTTAATTACAAATCTTGCTCTTTTCAGTGTTACAGTGCCTGTCTCCAATACAGCCCAATGCAGTCTGGAGTCTGATTTCGCACTGGTTTGCCCCAGCAAAGGCACCTGGCTGCGTTCTGCTCTCGGGCTGAGAAAATGATTTCTCCAACCACCCCCCCAACCCCGTAAGCCACATGTCTGGTTTAGATTTCGTTTGCTTCCTCACTCTCAAAGATGACCATGGATTGCACCATCCAAACCAGGGTCTGGGAAGACAAAACAATGAAAACACTCTTGAAAGACAAGACGGAGGAATGGAAGAAAACAGCAGGGTTTCCTAAGAGGCACAACCGCAGTTCAGGAGAGCAGGAGGAGGAACAGCACTCAGTGGGTTGGGAAAACCTCTGGTTGTATTTGTTAACTTACCTTCGGTTTCTTTTCATCAGCTTCAGTCCCTTCCTTGTCTTTGCTGTCAATACGACCTGGCAAATGGAAACACACAGTTACACTTCGTGGCACTGGTCAGTAAACCCTAGGGATGGTAACGCCTGTGCTACAGCAACATTCATGCTGGGTGGGTGCTCCATGGTCCTGCTCTCCTTTAAATTCAATATTATCCTTACAAATATTACAAAGTCACTCATTTATTGCAGAAAGACTTCCACATCGTAAACACATTCTTTCTGGATTAACAGATTATCCTCTGCACAGGCAACAGCACATTAGTCATCACTGGAGCACCAGACACATGCAACAAGGTCTGCATTAAACCGTTTTGTCCGGATTTGCACTCAATTCCAGAAGCATCTGTTTAGTTTAGGACAGAACAGCCCTCTTTGACCCTAAACACGACTTTCCCTCTGTAAAACACCCATTGATTCTAACAATCATATAAACATAAGACTGAAAGTGAAGAATGCCCCAATCCCAGCAGTGCCATGATCTCATTTAAAGTTGTTGCTCAGTGTGTTAACTTTGCAAAGGATTTTCAATACCAGGATGTTGTAACTTCCATCTCTCCCGACACTGCTTTTTTCCTCCCCAGCAGACAGTGCCTTCGAGCTGGGTCAGACCCTGCAGGGTCCTACGGCTTTAGCTGTTGTCCTGCTTGGTTGGTATCGAGCACAGCGACTGACAGTAATTCAGTGTTTTGTCCCATTAGTCTACAAGACTGCAGTACTGCTAATTAGATTAGAAACAGGGAGGAAGTAACGTTTGTATTGTAAGGCACACATAACAAAGCCCCTTTTTTCCCAGTCTTCAGCTAATTCCTCCCTAATCTGGAAGGAAAAGCTGCTGATATTCTCCCCAGTGCTTTGGAAACTGGCCCTGCAGGGTCAGCCCTTTCCCAGTGACATGAACAATGTTGTTAATCCAGCCCTGCTGACCCTGACCCATCCCAGCAGCCACTCCCAGCGCTGCTGGATGCACCACCCTGCCCAAACTCAGTTAAACTGCAGACCGGAGCAACACCGGAGCTGAACAGCCACAAAGCATCCCTGTCTTGGAAGGAAAAGACTATTAATTAATAAATAAGAAATAAATTCCTCCTACTGAATCAGAAACTGGTTGGCTCTGGGTAAAGCATCCCCAACCCATCGTTTTCAGGCTCTGATGTTAGCAATAGCAAGCCATGCCGATGCCCTGCAGCACACGTGCGAAGCTTCCCGCTGGCTTATCAGGTAGTGAACGAGGAGAAATATGCGATGAGCTTTAGCTCCAGTGGAAAAAGCTGCATCAACAATTTCTTCATGAATCCCGCACAGCAAAGAGCGCGCTTCTCTCTGCCGCAAACCAGAGCAGCGGCGAGCGGGATTTCCAGGCTAATGGAAGCAGCCAAAGCCAGCTTTTGGGATGCGGCACTGGGGAGGAAGGCAGAGCTTCCCCCAGGTCAGGCCCTGGACAGCCAGAGCTGAAGTACAAGACAGTGAGACACCATTGGGTTTTAACTTGTGTCCTGCTGCCCCAGCTTATTCACACAACTCACTGCCAAACCTGCGTTTGGCCACTGAGCAGAGCCCCCAGTAACGCCCCTCTGGCCTCTTGGGGAAAGAAAATGCTTAAGAGCTGCTCTGCTAGCAAGGATGCTCCTGTTTTAGGGGGTGAACTCAGCCCTTCACCCAAGACAACTGAGATTGCTGCATGAACGAAGCAGCTCCAGGGCCCGACTGCTCTCCCAGCCCTGCTGTTAGATGTGCCCAAGAGCCAGGTCTCCACACACACAGGCAGAACAGCTCAAGTCCCGCCAGGAACACGCTGTCCAGAACTGGGATCAGAGCAGGATGCTTTGTGAGAGCATCTGACACGTCCTGCAGTGGGCAAAGGTCCAGCTACCTGCAGACCTTCCCTCCAGCAGCAGTCAGTAGTGGATATTTAAGGGAAAAGTACCAGAAACAAGAGCAATTCGGGGCCTTTTCCATGGTTAGACCTGCCATCTCACTTGCCTTTTTCCTCCTCCCTCCTCTTTAGGAAAGCCAATACAAAGAGTTACTGGACTGGCCAGTGGACACATGCAAACCAGATGTCTCTTGCTGGAACAAGCTGCAGCACACGCCGGGTTAGCCCCACTCCACCATGCCAGAGCAACGTCCATCCGTCTTCATCTCCTTTGGGAAGGGGGCAGGTGTGAGTTAAGGCGCCCACCCCAAAGATCCAAGGAATTCAAAACAAAAACAGGTGAGAAAAGCATGATTGGGAACTCGCCAGCACCATGCAAGGGATGCAAAACCGAAGCGTTAAGGGTCTGGCAAGTACGCCAGGACATCCAGGATTAAATTAAAGAGGGAAGGAGGGAGAGGGAGAAGCAGCGGCGCTCTGTTGATCAGTTCACAGCAAAGGTCCAGGCCATTTCCCAAGCAGCAGGATCTGAGAGGTGGCAGCAAGCTGAAGTACTGGTTCAGGCAGCCTTGTCGTGAGCAAGCCACCGGCAACGTGAGCCAAGGGCACACACCTTTTAGGAGAGGAACGCGACTGACTGCTTTGTCTGCAGCACGGGCGTGAGGTTTCTTCTTGGGCGTCCGACGCTCTCCTGTATCTGGCACTGCCTCTTCCAAAGAAGCATCTTTGTCTTCCACATCATCTTTTAAGTCAACAGGGAGTTTGGTTGTTTCTGGGAAGGGTCCAGAATCTTCTCCCTCCCCAGTCTCAGCTTCTCTTCGGGGGATTATTTCAGAAGGCTCTGATGGGGTGACCTCTGTGTCTTCTTCCCCGCTCAAAGGCTGTCTCCTCTCCTCTTGGCCCTCTCCTGCTTGATGTGATTCAGTTTCAATGAGAAGTGCCTCTCTTGGGATGTCTCTCAGGACATCTTTGGACTTGTCTTCTCCAATGACACATTCTTCAAGAGCTTCTTTGGCTGCTGCTGGACACAAGTCCATTTCAGGTCCTGGTGAAACTTGCTGACCCGCCAGGGAAAGCAAATCCTGTTGAGAAGTTTCATCAATATCATGGTCCTCATCTCTTTCCTGTCCACTGGCATCTTCTTTTAACGGAGCTTCGGCACATAAGGGAGATGGCCCATCTTTAATATGGGAGTCATCTGCGCCACCTGCCCCTGCCAGCCCCTCAGCACGACCCAGCTCTGCATCCACACCGATGCCTTCTCTGCCTCGATGATCCCACAACTCACTGTTGTCTTGGTACATATCCAGGGGTATTGGGATGGTGACCTCGATCCTGGTGGGAGCTGCTGTTGTAGCCTTCGTTTCACGCGACAGAAGAGGCTGCTGAAGAACCCCCTGCTTTGTGGGCTGGCTTTCTCTTTTTATTGCATCTCCCATGCACTCCTGAGGGCCAGGCTGTAGCTTTGGAGAGCTTGGCTCCCCTGGAGTTGAAGATGCAGGGTACGAAGTATGGGCAAACAATTAGCACAGGCATGTCAAACAGGTACTCATTTAATGCTGAAGAGACACTAAGGATTTCTACCATCAATCTAAAGGATAAAAGCAAGTCCCACATTGCCCCCGTTGAACAGATACCTCACTTCTACAGTGGCTTTTGCCTCTAAAGAAGCTCTGATCCCCATGGGAATCGGGAACAGTGACAAACACAGCAGCTAGGAGACCAGACTCCTCAGTTTGCTGGTCAGTGCTCACCTCTTTTTCCCTCAAGAGCCTGAACAAAACAGGCCAGACACCCTCCCCTCTTTCACAGGCGTACAAAATCCCTTCACGTCCTCTCCTCCCTTGCAGGACACATTCATGCAGACACCAGTTACATCCTCCCAGAGCTCAAACCATCTCTGCTTTGCTCTCCAGAACGTTTCTATTGCTAATGAGCTTGGGGAAGAGCACTCCTATGGCTCTCTCTTCCTGCTGTGTATGTCAAGCACCAGTGGAGCAGACAGCCTCAGTGGAAAGGATTGGAAGTAAAAATGTGACTGCAGCCACACAGCCACAGCAATTTTGGACTCATTAGAGCTCCAGCACTGCTGCCACCATTGGGGCAACGTAGAAAGCGTGACTTTAAAAGCTAAGGTTGCAGAGACCTCACTCTTTTTTGGAGAGGGGTGGGAAAGGAGAGAATTATGTTCTACCATTGGTAGGTATCACTGATCTCACCCATGACACAGACCTTTACAATTCCATCCAATGACTGCTGCATTAAGCCATGTATTCCAGTTGAGCTGGAGCTTTTCCATTTACGTTCATTCAACTGACGTAAAGAAGCACTGAGCAACGGAGTATTCACCCTGAACACAGGCAAACTGCTTTAAAGTCAACTGCCCTCGTAAGAACGTGCATCCTGTATTATGAATTTGTCCAGCCTCAAACACTCTTTGGGCTTTTTGAGCACTCACTGGATAAACTAAAGAGCCCAGATCAGAGCACTTCAGAACTGAGACCTCAGTTGTTGCTTTGGAAGATTAACAAGATTTAAACAAGAAAAGAAGAAGTCAAGACTGGCTTCGTTTTTTTCATCAATGTTCTCCCCACTTTAACCACAACGGTTGAGTGAAACTACCACAGAAAGAGCTCGGAAACTGTGGTTGAAGAGAAATCCTAAAGTGGCACCTATTGGCAGGTCCTATTTGAAATGTGGCACCAAGAACCACCTTTTGTAACCACAGAGGTATAAAGGGTGTTTATTCAGGAGCCAGCAGACCTTCCTGGCTCATTTCTTCTGCAAACAACCAACACGACCATTAAGAACCACCGGTGCAGATGTGTGGACAGTCAGTTCATCAGCTGTACTTCCATAACCCAGGACCTACCGGTGGTTGTGAGGCAAATTTGCAGCACAGGGTCAGGAGCTAGCAGAATGCCAGCAGAGAAAACTGTGACTCAGAAGAAGCTTCTCCACCTGCGACTCCAAAGGCATTTTAACGCTCCACCTTCACTGCAAAGATCATTTTTTCAAACCCCAAAACATGAAAAATGAAGGTATCTAGTGACAAGGCAGCCAAGGCTCTGTGTGTGCACTGATAATCACGTTTTCCTCTGAATCAAAGAGAACTATTAAAAGGAAGCAGCGCGCTGTTATAAGTCCACTTTCAGAGAAGTAACAACTTACGTAAGAACCTAGAAATGTCATCTAGAGGGTATATCAGAGCTCCAGCTCGCTGCATGTCCCCATACCTGACAGCTGAAAGATCCCAGGACAGTACAGAAAGGTCTGATGAAAAATCTGGTGAGAAACAGCACCCAGAACCAGACTGAAGAGGGCAGACAGAAAAGAGATCTTCAGCCTCTCCTGCTAACAGTCTTGATTTCTTTCTCGTAGCGGCGCCACTATTTTAAATACAGAAGCCTTGCTAGTGCAAGAACCACTGGACAGGCAAGCAAAGGTTTTATTTTGATTGCAGGGAGCAGTCTCTGCATAACTGTGCTCATCTGTGTGTGGAAGCGAAGACGAGCTGAATTCTGCCCTGAGCTGAGAAGGCAAAGACCCATTTACTTCTTTAAAAGACACAGATGTCTGTAAATGCACTAAGGCAGCCACGAGGAGGGGAGACACTGTCCAAGCAGCTGGAGGAATTTGTTATGTCCACTGCACAGAAAACTACCTTACAAGATGGGGGTTTAACCAGCACAACGAATTAGCACTATGGTGCACTACTGCAAGACAGACAGCAATATCCAAGTGAGTCTTAACCCCTAAATCTGCCCCATTGGGCACAGAATTAATCACTGGGTGATTTGGGGAAGTCCCATCCTGAAGTTTTCAGTCAAGTCTGGACCAAGCAGAGTCAAGAGAAGCTTTCCAGACAGCCAAGAGGTCCCTGGATCATTTCTTGGCTCATCTGAGCAGATGCAGGATGCTCTGTGAGCACTCACTGCCCACCGTGCCTGGCTTTGTCAGTCATGTTCCCTAAGGCTGAGATGAGAAAGAAGAGCATCCTTAATGTTAAAGTCAGGGCATCAATGAGCAGGTTTGAAACACGTTTTATGTTAGAAAGAGACACAGTCATTAAACAATTCACTCATTTAATGTGTGACACACAGGGCCCAACACTGACCCTGTTCCTCCTGGCTCTGTTCATCATTTTTTCCAGCCTGGACGATGCCCTGTTTTGCAACTGGACAAACAAGCACCAGGGCTTCAGCCACATGAGAGAGAAATTCGGTGCATGAAAAGCTGCAGTTCCCTGAAATGAGTATGTTGGGACATTCAAAGCGTGTATGACCCTCCCCTGTCAGGAACAGGGAGAACTGCACAACTGCTCGTAAGAGTGCAGAGCATTTGCATTACACAAGAAAATTCCCAAGCCACCAGCAACCAGCCACACGTGTGGGCAGCAAGAACTGGACCCCGGTGCCAGATGATGATTCACTTACCTTGAACGGCATCTCCTGCAGCGTGGTCCTCCAGGTTGGGGGTGGCTCCTACGCCCGCTTCTTCAGCTGGTCCCAGTTCAGAGAAAGAATGGGAAAACACGATCAACACAAGAATTTAAGCTTAAGCGTGTGTCTGGAAAATTTATTTACCTCCCTGCTGATTCTGCCCATCAGCACTGTATTATGAGCAGGGCTGGATCAGAATGGAAATCAACCCCTGCTGATGATGGATCTAGCTCGACTTACTCAGCTCGTGCTCTACCAGGCTAGAGGAGCGTTTCACCAGCCCCCACATCCTCTGTGCCACGTTGGTACAAGCTCCTTCAGGCAGAGGTGCAGAAAACTGGCTGTTAAGTAGCATGGAAATGTGGGGATTTATATCCCCTCTTGTACCCCACCCAGCCTTTACATTGCCAGCAGCACTCACATGAAAGTCTGTTACCTGAGCCCTACCTTCTTGGTGTTTACTGCCTAGCTTAATGCAACGAACTCCACCGAGGCTGTGTGACACCAGCAAATCCCAGTCTGATCAAAATCTGACACCTCAGGAGTACTGGTGCATCAGAGAAGCACAACTTTCTTCACAGCAATGGCGGTTTGACTCTATCAGATTGTTCTCAATTTATTATATGACTACTTTCAAACCAGCTTAATCAATTATACTTGCATGTCACAGTTCTACAGTCAAGCTAGGACCTTCTCTGTCTTCCTCGTTTTCTTCCAAATTACCAGGACACTCTGCTTCTTCCCGGTGCAGTCAGATCTTGAACCAGAGTCTGTGCATCCCTGCTAGCAGTGTGCTACTCTGTGCTTCAGCCCAGGGCCCAGCCTGGGGACTGGATGCAGGACAGACCATTTGGCTGCCCAAGGCAGTGTGCTGTGGGCTTGTTTCAGTGTTCGGGCACTGGTGAAAGCCCATTCCACTCCCTACCTTTCCCAGGTCCTGCCTGATGCTTCCAGGAAAAGACAGCAGCTACTGCAGGGGACACATACTCATTTTCCACGTACGGACCCGACTCTCCCAGGATCTCCCACCCTCTTGTACATACGCAGCACTGCTGCAGCTCATTCCCTTCCTACTCTGCCCTGAAAGATCCCCATCCCTGCCTGGAAAACCAGGCCCAGGTGCAGTAACTCCCCACAGAACATTCAGGCTGAATTAGCCACTTCACTTCCCCTGCATTATCCTTAAAACTCGCCGGCAGCCAAAGAAGTGCTGCAGTGGCCTGGTTTTCACCTGCCTCTTCAAAGACAATCGCGTGGGCTGAGCGAGAGCTCCAGGGAGACAAGCAGCAAGGTCCTGCGGTGACCACCTCGCCTCGCCAGCAAAGCGGGGCTGCTGGCACAGGGACAGAGATGAGCGGGATCTGCAGGTAAGCGCTTAGCCTGGAGATGGGAGGCGAAGCCACCACAGAGAAAGCAGACAGAAAGATTGCAGGTAAGGCGCTGAGAAAAGAGAGAAGAAAAGGCTGCGGGTTTCCCTCAGGATGGGGAAGGCAAGAGGAAAATTGTAAGCTAGGAATCATTTCTGCAGGCCGTGGAGAAGAAAGCAGCACGCATCGGGAGCAAAGCACGCCTGCAGGAGGTTTTGCAGTGTTATTTTAAAGCACTAACCAGTCGAGCTCTCTGCTCTGGCTGCATCAAGAGATGAAACTGCACCTTGGTCTCCCTCACCTGTGGTTCCTTCTGGGATCTCCCCGTGCTGTTCGACACCACCCTGATCCTCGTGGTCTCCTTCCTCCACTAAAGGTGCTGTGGCATCTGAAAAACAACGCAGCTTTCACATAGCCATTGAGTGGCAAAACCCTGCGGAGGCCAGGACGTGCCTGAAGAACGTTTTGCTCAGAAAAGCACCCGACTCCCTCCCTTGAGCCACTGCAGAGAACTGAGCGTGACACAGCAAAGCCAGCACCGCCAGGACACCACGAGCTGTCCCCTCTGCCACACAAACTCCGCCGCGCTCCTTCTGCAGTTGGAGGCTTTACCACAAACACTGTCCAAAAAGACACAGCTAAAGAACAGCCACTGGTGTCTGATCTACGTGCATGGCAACGCTATCTGCATGGGGACATCACTGCTCTGGAGCAGGAAAGAACAGCTCCCACCGGATACCTTCACAAACTGCATCGCACTCCAGGCAGCTGAGACAGGCAGATCCCTGTTTCCATCTACCAGAGGGAATTCTGCTCGTCGTGACAGCCCTGATCCGACTGGGAAGAGGGACAACATCCCTTTGTGCACCAGATTTTACACACTCATTTCTTGAGCCACATTCACAGAGGATCAGTCAGCTCATACCTCCAGTGGGACAGGGCTGGAACTGGTCAGCATCTCTGCCCACTTTTCTCTCACATATATTTAGCAAACTAATCCCTTTACCTTGAAGTCTCCAAGAGGCAGATACTTGGGAGTAAAGCAGCCAGAGGAACACAAAACCTGCACTTAATAAAAACTGGTGAACAAGTCTCTGGACCACTTTGGAATTAGGTTCTTTCTACAAACACAGCATTCACATAACACTCTGCAGCAGCACAGATGTGCCCCTAGTCCTACCAATATGACCTTTACATCAGCACAGTTTTGGTTTATGTATAGACTCTGCCCATCTCAACGTTCCAGCATGAATCATGCTGTGCTAATGAACATATAAATACAGAAGGGGCAAAAAAAGAGCTATGAGGTACAGCTACTCTGACAGGGAGCACAGCGACCAGGACGTGCTGTCAATCTCTTGGGGGAGCACAACGATGCAAACCTGGAGCACACGACATGGGATTGCTCCTGGCTGCACTGAGCTAACGGGAGCTCACGGTCACGGTGTAAAAAGGCTTCAGGAAACAAACTGCAAGCAGCTTCCTGTACTATAATAAACACTTCACCTTCTCCTGCCTTCCAACCCACTCTCCACCTTTAAAGCTCATTATCTCATTGTGCAGAGTGGCAAACACCACTTGTGATGAGACTAATGAGGAGCATTTGTCCAAGAGTGCAGACACTCCTCCTGAGAAACCCCACCAGAACACGGCACGGCGAGTCTTTGGGCAAGGTTTACCACGACCCCATCCATCATGGTTTCAAAGCAGTAAGTCAAAGAGCTCCCACCTTCCGTAGTTGGGGTGCTCTTAGCGTCAGATGTTTCAGAAACAGGCTCATCCGATCCATCATCGACTGGTATCTGAAGGGGATAGCCTGGAAAACATTCAAATACTTAGAACAAGTCCTTGGCTACGAATTATGGCCTGTGCATTATGAACTCTGATTGCCCAGATCCGCAGCAGCAAGAAACTGCAACTGAAGAGTATAAAATACCTGAATTAAGCAAGCAAAAGCGTGAAAATGCGAACCAAAAGCACCAGTGTTATCACCAAAAGGAACAAGCGGAAACCCATCAGCAAAAGAAAAGCCCAGTGAACTGGACAGCTAGAAACAGCAAAGCATGGCACAAGCAGGAAAGGAGATCTTAGCAACGTAAGCAGGAAAGATGTGCAACTTCTGAGCCACTGTTGTCCTCTGCCATCTCTGAAGCCATTAGTCTCTGTCCCAGAGCAGGCTGCTGAACACTTCCCTGATGCATTAATACTAATTACTGCAAACCAGCAAGTCTTTGTAAAGGGCTTGGTGTGGCACACAACGTACAGCGCAAAGACTTGCTTGCAAAAGTCATCTTTTGGAAGAGCAGAGCAAGAGGCACAAGTCTCCTCTGTGCAAGGAGCCTGGGCAAATAAAATAATAAGAACTAGAGAAAATGACTTGGAAAAGAAGATTCAAACTAACATAAGCAAAATCCCTGGTAACCTGTGATGTGTGAAGCTGAGAGGAGCTGTCAGACTATCAGAAATGCGTTACAGAAACCAGAATGAATGGATGCTATGGACTCTCTCCAGGACAGAGGCAATCCATTTATCTGATGTAAGCTGTGTCCAAAGCACCTCAAGAAAAGAAAATTAAGATGATGTTTATATGAAGCATAGCTGGGAGTGAGTCCCACCGGGTTTGCTGGCGTTATGCGGGTTTCCAAGCTCAATTGTGGAGCGTGGTGGAATGAGAAAGGAAAGGCTTCTTGAGAAATGCAGGTCTGAAATATGGGGCGAAAGACTTGCGTGGCCCCAGCTCCCAGACCTCTCTGTTCAGTTCTCCCCATCTCCCCGTGCAGGTGAGAAAAGCAGGCAGCAAGCAGCATCCGTGAGCTGTGTTTCCAAATAAAAGCAGTGCTGTATTTTTATAGCAAACTGAGAAGTGAACGCAGAAACGCACATGTGCAAAGCTGCAGCGACAAGATCATCACTAGTCTGGGTACTAGGGGGGTTGTTCTGCTCTTGCTGGGCAATGACACCAAAGAGCAGCATTTTCCTATGACTATGAACACCAGAGCATCTTGTGGACCACCCACTGCCCACTGGCTGCAGCCAGCTGATCCATGGCAACCTTCCAGACACACACACACACCATCTCCTCCTGCCCATCCCCAAGGACCTCTCACTCTTCCCTCCGCAGTGGGCAAGGCAGATGTGATGATTCCTTCCCACCATCTCCTCCTGGAGGTGCTCACCTGATGGGATGTGCTTCTCCTGGCCAGTTGCGTGGTCCTCCATCATGGTGACGTCCTGACGCTGCACCGCTACCTCTCAGCAAAGCTGCCTGAAGAGAAGAGTAAAAACAAACACCCATCAGGCAAAACCCAACCCAACGCCCCTTCATTTGAGGCCTGGTTTGCTCCCACCTACTGCTCCACGAGACCATTTTGGTTGATGAGCCAACTTCCAGGACCATTAAACATCCTGCTGCAAGAAATCAGCCAACAACAGGCACCTTTTCAGCCACTGTAAGAGGACATCTGCTTTGTTCCCTTTTCCTGATGAGCCCTGCAATCGCACCACTGCGCTCGGGGAAGGGCACAGCTCCAATACACGTCACCAATTGGGTTTCACACTCAGTGGTGGGAGGACAGCACCACGGCTGCTTAACCCTGAACCCTTCTTGCAGTGCTCAGGAAGCCAACAGCATGGTGTGGAGCAAAGCAGAAGCACAGTAAAAAGGTTTGGACGCTGGAGTGGAAGTAGAAAGGCGCTAAAATTCAGTGTTATTTTTCTAACGTGCATCTATCTGCAAGAGGAAATTAAGTGGCCAACAAACATTATCCGCTTCTGTGAAGCAGGGATGTGTTTCTCCATGCTGGTTGGACGGACATTGCTTTTAGTTGCCTTGCTAATAGCTGATATAATTACAGCCACAGGCAGTGATTAATAACCAGCTATTAGCGCAATCGCACGTTTGCCACGACCGTCAGAAGTGAACGAATCCAGCAAGGAAGCTCAGGTTACCAGCAGCAAGGAAGCAAACTCATGTGGTTTTGTATGCCGGCAATAAATTAACTGGATATATGGAACCAGGCAGAGCAACTCCAATGCTGGTAACCAGATCTCTCACCCAGCTTTTTTCAGCCTTAGCAAGATGACTATGCAATTTAATTTCTGCCTTGGACAGCGATGAAGCCATTTGACAGAACTGTACCAAGTGAGTTTGAGAACTTGTCCTGAAATAACCCATTAAAATGGAGGTATAAATGAGGAAAGAATTAAATACCTGATTTTTGCCCCTTTTTTGTCCCTCCCAACCCAGCTCAGTTCACTGAACATCTACAGATATTAACACCTCTGCTTCTCAGCTGCAGACCCAGACCACAAATCTGCTGCGCTTGGATTTAACTGAGGTTTACTGGTTGCTTATTCTGCCTCCTTTCCTCTGTTCCTCCCGTCTGGTTTTTTTGGAGAAGAGCAATCAGCGTGTCCCCCAATCTCCCTGGAAAGTCACACTTAGTCCTTTCTTGCCTCTGGACAAGAAATTCCTGGGACAGAGGGCTCCCAGCTTGACAGCTACTGAGCTTGTGTACCCCACCGAGGGCTGATCTGCTGGCTCCACGGACAGCAC